CCAAAGCATCTCATTCCCCAGCCTTTCCCCCCCAAGTTTTTGGCTGGTCTACTGTTGTTTGTGCCGACTGTTATCCACGGCCCAGGCCGCAGGGACTGATACATGGGTCTTTAAATGTTCTTGACAAACGCCCGGTGGACAGCCGTGTCTGCCCTGGGAGAGTTCTGAGTTAAGCAAGGTGAAGGCGGGCCCTTTGAAAGGTTCCAGGGGCCACCGGACGGGTCAAAACAACCAACCACAATTCTTTGAGAAAAAGATCTATTTTTCTCCCTCAAGGTGCTGGTGCCTATACTGGTGACAGGGACCATTGCCTTCAAGGACACTGCTGAGTTGGGGAGTAGGGGCTGGGGCCAGGGTCAGTTAGACACGCCACACAGCTCTCTTACTGAGGTTTCATTGTTTTTGTTGGTGTTTTTTTTTTTTTTTTTTTTTTTGAGAGGGGGGTTCCAAATTTTTATTAAGTGTCTCCCCCGTTACTATATGCTTTGGGTTAGTTTCCAGAATTCCAAAAGAGTTGATTCTGAGTTTTTTGCCAGGTACTTATTGCTTTTGTGGAGGGATAAGCTTTTGGAGTTCTCTGCTCTGCTGTTTTCACGGATGCCCGTCTTGAACTTTGTAAGCGCCGACACTGGGCTAGGCAGTGGGGATGCCGAAATGCTTAAAACTGGCTTCGGACCTCTGGGAGTTCACAGTGCAGCAGGGGAGCAAGATTCTAGCACATGAAGTAATGAAGCTTGGTCCAAAATAACAGCTGCTCAAGGACAATATTCCTACTCCCAGGGAAGGTCATGGAGGACAGAATTCTCTAGGGAGACCATGGTGTTCGTCCCAAGTCGTTGTTACTAGTAGTTTCCCAGGCATCTCCTTGCCACCTCCCTTAGGCTTCTAAAAGCTACGCTCAGAAGTGGAAGCTGCCGCTCTATCCCTTTTGGTACGTGTTTAGAACAAGGGCAGTCCTCTCCTACCCAACTCAGAACTGACCTTTTCGAAGCTTCTCTCTTTACATTAGCTATTAATCGCAACCTGAGAACCTGGGACTTGGAGAGCATTGATTAGGCCTAGGCTGACTTGACCTCGTTTGGAAATAGATGGCCACCAGATGAATAAACACGCTGTTCTAGAGGCTCTGGTTAACTTGGAATGGCGATAGGCCACAAAAGCATCCAAAGAACTGTCTCTCAGTGGCCAATTGAGCTGTGCTGTCTTCCAGGCAATACTTTGTCAGCCCCAACTGCATCTATTTCATCAAAAATATTTTGTGTTATATACTAGAGAGTTTGGTAGAGACAAAATTCAGAATAAGTCAAGGTCCTTGGTCCTAAGGAAATTACAATCCTTAGAATGAACAGAAACTCTCTTTTCTGGGACTACACAATACCAAAATGCACCATGGAGAGTGCTAGTCAACTATTTGGACACATCCTTCCCTCCCTTGGCTCCTTCCTTTTCACTTTTTTTCCTCCTGCTTTTCCCTCCCTTCTTCCCTTCCTCTCTTCCACCCTTCCTTCCTTCCTTCCTTCCTCCCTTCCTTCCTTCCACCTTCCTTCCTTCCTTCTTCCCTCCCTCCCACAGATATAAGGTGTGCTCACCACTGCCTACCAGTTCAGAATAAACCACTAATAAAAATAGACTTGGTTTCTGCCTTCATGGAATTCACAGTCTGGTAATTGAGTCAGAGTAAAAAGTCAACCACAAACAACTAATTACCACTGATTCCAGGAACGATAGAGGCTTGTGACCTAATCTCAGGGGTCATGAATTGTATCCCCAAAGAAAGGATATCTAATGGGAGATAAAGAGGAGAAAATAGGAATGATCCAGGAGGTGTAAGAGAATTATTCAGGAGGAATGACTAGGAGATGTGCAAAGGCCCTGAGACAGGAGGAAATCTGAGAATGGGGAATGGAAAACAGGCCAGTGTGCTGGGCATGAAGGGGGAGAAGAGGCAATGGTAGCAGATGCAAAAGGAGTAGAGCAGAAGCCAGGTCATCCGGGGTCTTGAGAGACTGAATTGGACCTTATCCTAAAAGCAATGGAAGTTGTCATCATTATAAAACCACTGTGTGTTGGGGGGGTGGGGGGGGACGTGTCTACACTTGTACTCTAAGACTCTAAGACTCAGGTGTCTCCTCAGCCAGGATAATTTAAGTGTATACGTTTCCCTTGTATATGTCAGTCTGATCCTGCACCCTCACCACAGAGAAATAAAAACCTCAAACTTGACATGGCTAATATCTCAGTTGCTTGCCGTTTAAAATAATCTAAGATGAACTCTTTGGAATAAATATTTGGTCTTGTCTTTTCAGAATGTGATCTCGATTCGTTCTGGAGTTTCCTCTTCTTCAGCCCTCCTCCCTGGGACTAAGTGTTCACTGTTGTAATTGTCTGTGTGTGGTGGGGGACTTCTGCCCCGTCCTGGCCTTGTGGGAGACGCAGACCTATGGGCATCTCCCCCTCTGCCACCCCTGGGTCCTCACCAAGATCTCCAGAGATGTGTCCCATCCCATGGTCCCTGGTGGCTGGTACCTGTAAGTGAGGCTGGGCTTCCCATTCCTATACAGCCCACAACGCCCCCCCCCACCAAAGTGGGGAGTACTCAGTAGCTAGTACTCAGTCGCCTCCTTCTCCTCCCTTTCCTTGGTTGCGTGACCATGTGGTAGGTGAACCTCTTCAGAATTCATGGCAACTGTCAGACAATTGTCCGTGCATTCTAATCCAGTAGCTGGAACACGTTATTCTGAGACACCCCATTCTCTCACCCGTGCTGGGGTCCCCATTTGGTCCCAGTTTGCCAAGGACTTTCCCAGTTTCCAAACTGAAAGTGCAATGCCTGGGAAACCCTTTAGTCTCAGGCAGGCGGAGTCGACTGGTCATCCTACACCTGGTCCTCCTCATGGCCGGTGGCCGGAGGTCAGGCAATCAAGGTCAAGAGCACAGAGATGAACCCACCTCGACTAGATAAGGAAGCACAGTTGCCCAACCCCAAGAGAGCCACGGGCTTTAATGTGGGGGTTCGTTCCACCTCGTGGAAATACAAAACAACCTCCTTGCTTGTATGTTTGCCAAGGAAGAAGTTAGTCACTGCAGAAATGGATTTGATAAAAATAAATAAATAGAACACACGCTTTAAAGTGTAAGGATTAAGTAGCTAAGTCTTATGCTGAAGTCAGAAGGGAAACAAGAATCTTAGGTCATGTAACTAAGTTTACACAAACACCATCTAACTCTTATTTATTTGGTTAACACTTTGGAGCAGGGGAAAAAAAGTCAAATGTTATAGTTTCAGCATCAAAAACATATGTAAAGCAGCTCTTACTCTCCTGCGCAGTTGATGGAAACCGCCCCTTTGGAAGGGGCGCGGAAGAATGCCTTTGTGTTGCTGAGTTTTTATGTTCTTGACTTACCAGATCAAGGACAGATGTGAATGTATTTTTCGACTTCATAACCAACAGGGAGTATTGCAACTTAAAGCAGCTGGGGGAGAAAGCTGTGTATAATACAACGGTTTTTTCTGGAAACGGACTTATCTCAATGGAAAAACTGGACGCTTTGACTCACTGGGAGAAATATGGGGGTGCATGGGGAGATCCTGGCGCTTCTCTGGTGTGACGGGAAGTCCCTTTTGTTACCTCAGGGGAAAGAGCCCTCTTCCAAAGAATGCCCAGCTGTCTTTTCTGTCTGAGGCCCCAACCTGGCCACAGTGCCACTTGGGGGCGGGGCCTGGGTGGGGGTTTACTTACCAGGTGCCGAATCGTGTGCTAAGTGCTTTCCATGTGTAATCTCATTGGATTTTCAGAATCATCTTTTGTATGGTGGGTCCTCAGGCTCTTATCCCAAAATGCATGGGGCCTGATGTGTTTAACAAGTAAGACTTTCTCCCCAGATTTTAGTAAAGAAAAAAAATACGGGCATAGACCGTGTAATACATAACACCCCTCTGTAGGTCTGCGTGGGCACCCCTCGATCAAACACATTTGTGTTTTCACGTTTGGTTGGATAAACCAAAGCTTTAAATTGCTTCACACGAATTCCGGTCAGACGTCGCCACTAAATGAGTTTTAGTGCTAAACATTTGAGGAAAAGGGAAAAGCTTTGTGTTTTCGGAGCTTTTTGGATTTCGGAAGGACAGAAAGGAGATTTGGATCTGTCCTACAATGCCCACGTAACAGATAAGGAAGCTGAGGTGAAACATGTTCGTTGTCTGTACCTCACTCTCTTCTAATTTTATTTTCTTTTTATTTTTTTAAAGTTTATTTATTTATTCTGAGAGAGACACAGAGGGTGCAAGTGGGGAAGGGGAAGCGAGTGAGGGGGACAGAGGATCCAAAGCAGGCTCTGTGCTGACAGCAGAGAGCCTGATGTGGCGCTTGAACCCATGAACCGTGGGATCATGACCCAAGCCGAAGTCAGACGCTTCACCGACCCAGCCACCGAGACGCCCCATTGTCTTCTAATTTTAAACATTTGTCGGGGCGCCTGGGTGGCGCAGTCGGTTGAGCGTCCGACTTCAGCCAGGTCACGATCTCGCGGTCCGTGAGTTCGAGCCCCGCGTCAGGCTCTGGGCTGATGGCTCGGAGCCTGGAGCCTGTTTCCGATTCTGTGTCTCCCTCTCTCTCTCTGCCCCTCGCCCGTTCATGCTCTGTCTCTCTCTGTCCCAAAAATAAATAAATGTTGAAAAAAAAATAAATAAACATCTGTCAATTAACTCCATGTCTTTTGGGTCAGTGCTCAGTCTTTTTAGCATTTGAGTTCAGCTGGTTCTGGCTGGGCCTCCTTCCTGAGCTCAAGGCTGACTGAGGGGACTGAGTTTCTAGTGCCCCACTGGGTTTCTCAACCGCAGGGTGACTTGGCACCCCCCTGCCTTTATTTAAATGATTTTTACAAAAATAAGATATCCAAGGACTCCCCTACCATGGCTTGGGAGTTCTAGAACATTCCATGTGGCTCTAGAACATTCCATGTCTCTTGAGCAGTCAGTGTTTCCAGGGCTGCAGGGAAGGGTCTCTGTCCATCCACACACAAGGACGTTGGCTCAATATGTAATAACCATGAGCCAGAGTTGGTTTTGGGGGGAAAGAAATCAAAGGTGCTGGCAGAGCGAGCAGGCATTTTCCTGAGGGTGAGGTGCACACAGGTACACACAACAATGAAGTGTTTGTGGGCGAGGCCCAGGCCAACTCTACCAGCAAAGAGCCGATGGCCAGACTATGAGCCGGGTCCTCTCAACTGTGTGAGTGAGTGAGGGTGGGTGTCTCCCTGAGCAGGGTCCAAGCCAGTCCCCTTCTCAAAGGCAGAAGCATCCTTGATGATTTCTGCCCTCTTCCCCCTCCCTACTTCTGGCCAAGGGAAAGCAAGGGGTCCAAGCTGGAGAGGCCAAAGCCATGACGAAGTATGTGATGGGCTGGGGGAGTGGCCGCCCCCATCCCTGCCGGTGACACTGTTCCACCGGCTGATGGACAACCAACGAGTTCTGCATAAATCACAATTAGGAGGGTTTGGAGACAGCAAACTGACTTCTGCCTCTCCAGGCAGATTGTGAATGTCTTTCAAGAGGGTGAAAGGGCCTGGCTCTTTATTCAGAGAGCCAGCCATCAAGAGTTGAGGATGGAACAGAACAGTGGGTCCCACCGTGGCAGATAGAAAAGTTCTGGCTGAATGTAGAATTCTGCTGTGTGCTTGGCTCCCCTGCTGACCCAGCTAATGTTCTTACTTTCAAAGAACAGGTGGAAGTCTGACACGCTCTCTGAAAAGAGAGAGAGAGAGAAAGAAAGAAATCTTCCCTGAGGACTTTAAGAGTGACTTTTCTTCTTCTCTGTTTCCGAAGGGACTTGGCCCACGTTCTTGCCCTGGGAGAAATTGCTCCCAAGAGCTGAGGGAGTGGAAAGAGAAGGACTCCTTAGACCCGCGGCCTCAGTTATCTTCATCTGTGAAATGTGAATAATGGCGACACCTACTGGAAATACTGCTGTGAGGAGTTCTTGTAAGGGCAAATGCCTGGAGTGTGTGCAGGCACTCGGTAAATTAGTTACTATTTTATTAGTAGTAGTAGTGCTATGGTGATGCCGGTGATGGTGATGATGGTGGTGATGGTGATGTTGATGATGGGGATTTGGGTCAGAGTCCCCTCTTCTGGCCTTGGGTGCAGCCCCGACACCGCAGGTGATGCGACCCTTTGTCCCACCTAGTCCTGCCTACTCTGGGGCTCCCCTTGAAAATGAGCAGCTCTGGGATGAACTGGGCTTACGCAGGCAATGACCTCCCCTCCCCAGCATCCCCTGGGGTCAGCTCCTCCTTCATCCACTTCAGGCCCGCTTGGCTCCCGGCTTCCTCGGTTAAGGGACAGTGCCAGAGGAGACAACAGTGGCAGTCTCCCCCAACAGTTCCTGGGTGCTGTTTTCTCACTGAGGTTTCTCGTGCTAGGGAAAGGAGGACACTCAACTACTCAAGTGGGCTCCCTGGGCAGGTTTGGCTGTGGCCCTTGCCCAGGTGCTCCTGACATCCGGACATGCCCAGTCACTACTCCCCAATACCCAGTCGTGCTGGACCCGGTCATGCTTGCCTCTGATACCTCTCCCCATAAGCCTGGGAGGAAGGGCCTCCGATGCCCATTCCACAGATGAAGAAATAGAAGCCCAGAGAGGTTGAGTATCAAGCCTGAGCTCACGTAGCCAAGATGTGGACATGGCCTGGATTCAAGCTCAGGGCTGCCCTCCACGAGCCGGTGTTCTCCTGGCCCTGCCTTATGCCCAGAGGCTCAGATCAACTGCCAGGGAAGCTGTGGTTTGCCACAGAATCCAGACAAGGCCTAAAACAGGAGCAAAGGGATACGGGCCATTTTGAAAAAAGAGCCCAAGGGAAAGGGACTGGAAATCCAGCTGCTAGGGGACTGACTGCAGCCTGTTTTCCAGAGATGAGATCTGAGCCCTCAGCCCACCTCCGGCCTGATGCAGGAGGGGTGGGGTAGAAGCACCATCCAAGTTCCCATCCAGCCTTGCGTGGCCCTTTGGGCTGGCTCCGGGGGAAGATCTTGCTGGGAACTTTGCTGGGAGACTCCCACGAATGTGCTCAGGAAGGATATAATCACAGGAACTTTCCAGAAAACACGGGTTCCCACCATTACTCTCCAACCACAGCCTTAGCTCCACTCTTGTGGGGGGCTATAAACCTGACCAAAAAGACAGGAGAATTTCGGGAATCTTTACCTGCAGATAGTCATCAAATCCAGCCCCTGGCAACAGTAGAAAACTGTGCTCCCACTCCAATGACTTCTGCAGCTGCCATTCTCCTGTTTCCTTTGCCTGGGATGTCCTCTAGCCAGCCTCCTCTATCTGGTGAACTCCCAGACCTTCTCCAAGACCCAGCTCCAATGGCACCCCCTCTGAGAGGCCAGCCTGGATCCTTCCAGGAACATGGTGAGTGCTTCCTCTGAGAACACAGACTGGAGTTGTCAGTTTCCTCATCCATCATCCTCAGTAGCAGCACAGTGCTTGGGATACAGTAGGTGCTCAATAAATGCAGGCGGAGCCAATACATTCATGAATAACAGCCCATTTAACATAGAACTTACGGAGAAAGCCCAGCCTGTTGTGGCACATCTCATCTGCAGGTTGATGGTAGTGGCCTTAAAAAAAGAAACAACCACAGCCAAGGCCTCCGCTTGCTTCTGAGATCTGGGTGGAGGCTGGGAGATTCGGCCCTGGTAGCCTTGTCTTTACTTCCCTCTTGTGGCCAAAAGTTACTGCTGCATCTGGAAAAGCCAGGGGTTTTTTTGAGGCTGGGGAGAGGGAGGTAGTTTTGCCTCCTGGAGTTTTTTTAGGGTCCCCGAGTCACTCTGATCCAGTCCCAAATTTCCTGGATGTACCTGTAACCCTCCCTCCAGCGCCTTGAAAATGTGTTACAGTCATGACAGAGAGATAACCAGCAGGGTCTGACCGGCCTCCAAATGAGCATCTAAGAGACTCCAAGGGTCCATCAGCTCTGGCTTAAGACTGTTGGGTGCGTGGGTGTGGAAGGGAAGGATATGACAAAGTCTGTGGTAGATACCTGCCCTCAGACACCTAACAGTCTATTTGCGACACCTTTGCAGGAAGTGCAGGATGACACCATGTGACGCTGTATACTAATAGAGAATCATAAAATTGTCTGCCAGCCTAACAGCCACGCTGTGGAATCGGGCAGCCTCGCATGTACATCCCGGTCCCACCACTTACTGCCTAGGTGACCTTGAACAAGTTACTTCATCACTCTGAATGTTTCCTCATCTGCAAAACGGACCCAGTAAGAGCTCCTCCTTCGCGGAGTCACGGTCACTAAGCGAGATGACCTGTGTCAAAACCTCAGTATGGGGCCCGGCGCGGAGTGATTCCCTTAAGTGTTAGCCGTTTTGGTTATAAGTAAGGTTTTTAATTGTCCAGTGCAGGTAGAGAACAGGGTGGGGCGTAATAAAGAACGGGATAAACACGTTCCTAATCATGACCTTCCTAAAGGCAGAGCCCAGTTTTCTTCTTCTTAGAGCTCCCTGCAATATGATATTTATTAACATGATAGTTCATCGTGGGCAAGATGACCCACAGGGCTACCTCGTTTTCAGGCTACTTGCAAGGGGTAGGCTATCAGTTGGCTCTAGCCAGAGTCAACTTGTTTCAATTTCTCCCTCCTCCACCCGCGGCAGACATCACTAATCAATCACGTCTCCCTCCCACACCCACGGGCAACATCACTAATCAATGACTTCTCCCTCATAAACCCACGGAAGACATCCCTCCTATGACATGGCAGACATGACTAATCCATCGTAGCCCTTTTTCACACAGAGCAAGTCTATAATCTCAGATTTCTCAGTATAGAGCTCCGGGCAGTTACAACAATTAAGCAGAGTGGGAAACTGGCATACAATCTAGTTAACCTTTTCAGGTCTTGACACATGGATAGTTAAAGATGTAGAGCGGAAGGGGGCCAGAGGGAGTGAGGTAAGCTGAAATGTGAGTGAGAAGGCGGCTCTTCCAGGAAAAGGAAGTAAGAGAGAGGCTGCTTTATGGGGCCCCTTGGCTCTGGGCTGACTTGTAGCAGCGGGCAAAGGGAATCACTGAAGGTCGTTGGGCAGGTGTTATTTGGGGGGCAAGATCTGTTTGGCTGCTAGTGCCAGATGGTCCAGAAAGGGGCCTGAGCCCCGAGGAGGGGTGAGGAGGGCTGGAACTCAGGACAAGGTGCGGAGGGAGATAAAGGCCAGGCATGCTGGACGGGAAGCTGTGGTGAGCTTGGTGACTCCGGGCACATTAGGAATAGAAGGAAGTTGTGCCATCAAAGCTGCTTTCCTGGCCCTGAGCTCTACAGGCTGGGAGAATAATGGCACCTCCAGCAGGAAGGGGGGGCTGGGGCCCAGAGAAGAGGATGTGCTTTGTTTCAGGCATTGGAGGTGCCTTTGGGACATCCAGCGGCGATTTCCTGTGGGCAGCTGGAAAGGGGAGGTTGGAACCAGGGCTGGAGCTGCAGATATTAGAGAGGAAGAGAGGAAAAGGTTAATGCTTTACAGGACCAGACTCTCTTTTACTCAAAGCAGTTTGGGTAGGAAAAGAGAGTGTGCATTCAGGAAAAAGATGAACTGGGTGAAGGTCATGGCTTAATTAAGAGGCATTCGCTGCAATCCGGTTTTCCAAAAGATACTGCATATCTGGGTCAAGTGTCCTTTTCACAATATCACCTAAATTAGTAGGGAAAAAATGTTTTTTTGGTAATAGGGAACAGTAAGTCTCATGCTCAGGACCCCTAATGTCCCTACTGCTAAGAAAGAAAGTATATATTTAACTGAAATACCCAAGCAATCAGAAGAGAGGTCAGAGAGACAATTCCTTTATTAGGAAACTCCATTTCCTAATGCGTGATAAAGTCACTTGATCTCAAAGGTCAAACAGACCTGGATTTGGACCTCAGCTCCACACTTCCTAGCTGTGTGACCTTGGACAAGATACTTAACCTCTCTGAACCTTGGTTCCCTCCTTCATAAAATGGAGCTAATAGAGTACCTAGTTCACAAAGCTGTGGTAGTAATCAAATGAAATGATGTATATAAAGGTTTAGTCCAGGACTCGACAAGTAATAAGCATTGAATGTTTGAGAGCTGTCCTTTTATGTTACCGTCTTTTTTTTAGGAACAGATTTTAAACAACCAGTGCATCTTTTCATGCCTGATAGGAATCCTGGGAAGTCCTCTGAGGGAGACAGAGAAACCCTACACTGATAATGCACCAGCCAAGCACATTTCTTTTGTGTAGGTCCGTCACATCACCCAGTAAGAGACAAAGTGGAAGAGGCTTCCAGAATTCTCCAGGAGATGAACAGCCTACTGGCCACCTTTCGTGGGCTTGTGGGCTTGTGGCCCAGGTTGGGGCTAGAGGCCTCCGCTGTCTGCAATCCTGTGTCCTTCCCCCTTTCCACCAGTGTTTCCATGACACAGGAGTTCCAAAGGTAATCACATGGACGTGTGTTAAAGCCCCCTTGACTCATCAGTGAGGATGCCCTACCAACCCAAAGGAGATGACCTTGAGCCAAGGCCAGTGAGCAGAAACGGGGCCCCTACTTGACCCCCAGCGTGTCCTTGAGGGAGACTTTGGAGAGTTCCTACCACCGATGGCCAGCAACGAATTAACAATCTAGAAGGTTCTGGAAGGTTCTGGTTCATAGGTGGAAGTTTGGGCCAGAAAGACAATTTGTTGAGGGTTAAACTCGGACCATAATAGCAGTACCTAACATTTGCTGAGTAATTACTGAGGGCCAGGAACTGTTTTAAGTGTGCACCAACTCATTCCCTCTTCACCATGACCCGTGAGGGAATTTTACACATAGATCACTGAGGCCCGGGTATGTTAGCAAACGAACATCTACACTAAGTGGCAGACGAAAGGTTTGAACCCGGGAAGTCTGACTTACAGAGCCCGTACTGTGACCACTGTGCTACCGCTGTGTCCCAGGGCTGGGGTCCACACCTGAGGGACGGGAAGGGCCACAGCATGAAGCCTGGCCTGAGGAAAGACTTTGCGGCAAAGGCTGTTTACCCAGGCCCGAGCCCACCTCAGTGGAATGTTCTGCCTGGTGCCAGGCGCCCAGATAAAGAGCCTTTTTGTCAGATGTTCCCAGGGATGAGTCACCCTCAGGAAGCTGCTGGATTCTTCTAAGGGCCCCTGTTCTTTTATCTCCTTGTTCCTTTCCTGGGGATAAATAGGACACTGCGAGAATTTCTTTAATTCCTATATTTACTCATAGGTTCTTCTCATCCCCAAACAGTGTTTAATAGGAGAGGTAAAAAGTTCCCTGCTGTGCCATCCTCCCCCTCTGGGCACCGGAGGTGCTGGAGACACGGCCCCGGGACCTAACTGAGCGGCTGTCCCGGTCGGAAGCGTCACCCAGGGGCCCAACCGCTGTCCCCGCCTCTGCGTCCGCTCTAACGACGCTGCTGAAAAGGGCGAGGGCGGGAGCGGAGCAACAGAAAGCAGGAGATGCTCCCATGATCCCAGCTTCAGGGGAAGGAGCTAAGGGGTTCATTCCCGGCTGGGGGATGCCCAGCGAAACATACTCTTAGGACATCCTCCCGCGGCCACGGACACGAAGGCGTGGTGGGGGATGCTAGGGCCTTAGGGCAAACCTCGGGCAGAAATGGTAGAGGACAGACGTGTGCAAATGTACCTCCGATCACAGGGCCCTCGGAGAGTAAGTCCACAGTGACTTCATGCCATCCTAGCCCTGGGTCCACACAGAGTCCAACTCAGACACAGGAAGGCCGTGGCACGGACGACTGCCGCCCGCTCAGTTCACGATCCACTCATTCGTTCGACACGGGTTCTCCTCACGGAGCACTTCCTCCGTCCAGGAGTCTCGCAGCAAGGTAGGGACGCAGAGCCAAACCGACAGAGTCGCCCAGAAGCCTGCTGTCTGGGGGGGGGGGGGGGAGCAGACCTCAGGGTGCAGCCCCGAATATCCAGAAGTCCAGACATCCGAGAGGTCCTTCCCTGTTGGCACGACGGGGAAGACAGAGAGTGGTGAGGGGACCCCCACGTGGGCCTTGGGGGGAGGGAAGCGACAGCGGAGGTCCCTCGGCCTCCCCACGAAGCAAGCTGCCCGCCGGTTCTGAGCTCGAGCCCCGCCAGGCCACCCCCACCCCCCGCCCCCGCCCCCGCCCCTGCCCCTCCGCTCATCCTCAGGAGGTTCTGTTGCAGATGCGCCTGGTGGGACTGGCCCAGGTGGAAGGTGCAAAGCCATCCCTTCCCCCCTCCCCCGTTCCCACCCCCCCCAACCCAACCGAACAGCCCTGGCCACAGGACGAGAGCAGACAGGGGGCACCTGGGCGCCTCCACCTGGAGGGGCAGCAGAACGTCGCATGTGACAAAGCTGGCAGGGCCCTCCGCGTAGCACCTGGCGCACCGCAGCCCACAATGAATGGTAGCTATTTGTGTAATAGCGTTAGGCGCGTTTTTTACCACCCTCCGATTCTCAGACATTTGGAGTGACGTTAGCGTCCGAAGATCTGGATTACAGTCACGGCTGTCACCTCCTCACCATTCCTCATGTCCATCAGCATCTTGTGCCTCTCTCTCCTCGTGGTGCGGGAAGGAATATCTGCTCTACTGTGTTGTGGGACTCAAATGAGACAAGAGTGGGAAAGAGTTTTGTGAGTCAAGTCCAGTGTGGGTTGAGACGACCATGAACCAAGGGCACTCCGGGCTTCTGTCCCGTGTCTGCGGTGAACCCTCCGTGCCACCCAGAACCTCCTCCCCTCCTCTGAGGCCTTCCAGCCTCTCTTGGGAATGAAGGGTTTCCACCTGATTCCCCCATCTCCAGTGAGACTGTAAGTCTCTTGAGGACCAGACCCGTGTTCATATACAACTAAGAGCAGCCATTCACCACATTTAGGACATGCCAAGCATTTTGCAGACCTCATATCATGTTCTTCTCTCCAGATCCCTGCAAGGAAGGGACTGCTGTTATCCTCATTGTCTAGATGAGGAAAATGAGGCTTGAAGACTTAAACACTTTGCCCAGGATCCAACAGCCAATGTCTGACTTTTTTTTTTTTTTTTTTTTTTTTTTTTTACCAGAACCCACGGCACAGGTCCGAACCTAGATCGGTCTGACCCCAAGCCAAGCTCTGAGCGCCATACAATGTCAGGCCCAGGTGGGCACCCGGTACACTTATTTAGCTTGGTTACTTTTGATTTCTATTTTATCCCCACCCCACACCTATAAGAAAAGACAC